TCACTCACTCCTCCTCTGCTCAAGGGGTCGGATGTACGCCCTGGCGTCCCTTGGTCTCCGCTTCTTTTGCGTGGCAGGCGTGGGACAATGTGCACTGCCAAGGGGTCGGATGTACGCCCTGGCGTCCCTTGGTCTCCGCCTCTTTTGCGTGGCAGGCGTGGGACAATCTGCATTGCCAAGGGGTCGGATGTACGCTGGCGTCCCTTGGTCTCCGCCTCTTTTGCGTGGCAGGCGTGGGACAATGTGCGCCGCCAAGGGGTCGGATGTACGCCCTGGCGAATGTGCATTGCCAAGGGGTCGGATGTACGCCCTGGCGTCCCTTGGTCTCCGCGTCTTTTGCGTGGCAGGCGTGGGACAATGTGCATTGCCAAGGGGTCGGATGTACGCCCTGGCGTCCCTTGGTCTCCGCCTCTTTTGCGTGGCAGGCGTGGGACAATGTGCGCCGCCAAGGGGTCGGATGTACGCCCTGGCGTCCCTTGGTCTCCGCCTCTTTTGCGTGGCAGGCGTGGGACAATGTGCACCGCCAAGGGGTCGGATGTACGCGCTGGCGTCCCTTGGTCTCCGCCTCGTTTGCGTGGCAGGCGTGGGACAATGTGCACTGCCAAGGGGTCGGATGTACGCCCTGGCGTCCCTTGGTCTCCGCCTCTTTTGCGTGGCAAGCATGGGACAATGTGCGGGGTCGGATGTACGCCCTGGCGTCCCTTGGTCTCCGCCTCGTTTGCGTGGCAGGCGTGGGACAATGTGGGTCGGATGTACGCCCTGGCGTCCCTTGGTCTCCGCCTCGTTTGCGTGGCAGGCATGGGACAATGTGCACTGCCAAGGGGTCGGATGTACGCCCTGGCGTCCCTTGGTCTCCGCCTCTTTTGCGTGGCAGGCATGGGACAATGTGCACCGCCAAGGGGTCGGATGTACGCCCTGGCGTCCCTTGGTCTCCGCCTCGTTTGCGTGGCAGGCGTGGGACAATGTGCACTGCCAAGGGGTCGGATGTACGCCCTGGCGTCCCTTGGTCTCCGCCTCTTTTGCTTGGCAGGCGTGGGACAATGTGCACTGCCAAGGGGTTGGATGTACGCCCTGGCGTCCCTTGGTCTCCGCCTCTTTTGCGTGGCAGGCGTGGGACAATGTGCATTGCCAAGGGGTCGGATGTACGCCCTGGCGTCCCTTGGTCTCCGCGTCTTTTGCGTGGCAGGCGTGGGACAATGTGCACTGCCAAGGGGTCGGATGTACGCCCTGGCGTCCCTTGGTCTCCGCCTCTTTTGCGTGGCAGGCGTGGGACAATGTGCACCGCCAAGGGGTCGGATGTACGCCCTGGCGTCCCTTGGTCTCCGCCTCGTTTGCGTGGCAGGCGTGGGACAATGTGCACCGCCATCGGGTCGGATGTACGCCCTGGCGTCCCTTGGTCTCCGCCTCGTTTGCGTGGCAGGCGTGGGACAATGTGCACTGCCAAGGGGTTGGATGTACGCCCTGGCGTCCCTTGGTCTCCGCCTCTTTTGCGTGGCAGGCGTGGGACAATGTGCACTGCCAAGGGGTCGGACTCACTCACTCACTCACTCATGCAGGATGGATGGATTGTTGATGGATAGATTGAACAGATAGATTGCTAGATAGATCGATAGATAGATGGATAGATAGCCAGAGAGATCGATCGATGAATAGATAGATAGATTGATTGGTAGATAGATAGATATCCTGATGTAAGGACAGATAGACAGATAGATAGATAGATAGACAGGTCTGATAGATAATAGATAGAGAGATAGAGAGAGAGAGAGAGAAATAGATAGATGGATTGATTGATGGATGGATGCACGGATAGATAGACAGATAGATCGATCGATCGATAGATAGATAGATGGATTGATAGATAGATAGATGGATAGAGAGATAGGGAGAGAGAGAGAGAGAGAGATAGGGAGAGAGACATAGATAGATGGATGGATGGAGAGATAGAGACATAGATGGATGGATGCATGGATGGATGCATAGACAGATAGATAGGTAGATAGATAAATAGATTGTTACATAGATGTTACATAGATAGATAAATAGATAGATAGACAGATAGAGACATAGATAAATTGACATACTTGGTTCACTCCATTCAGTTTCAGCTTTGCCGTCTCCCTGGCATGTTTTGACGTCGGCCTGGCATGTTTGATATACCGGCCTGTTTGACGTGTGTCAGACTGCTCGGTGTAGCTTGGCCTGTTTGCAACATGTTCGACGTGCACAGAATAGATAGATAGATTGTTACATAGATGTTACATAGATAGATAAATAGATAGATAGACAGATAGAGACATAGATAAATTGACATACTTGGTTCACTCCATTCAGTTTCAGCTTTGCCGTCTCCCTGGCATGTTTTGACGTCGGCCTGGCATGTTTGATATACATTGCGTACGCCGGAAGAGGCACGTAGCTCCACAGCTTGGACGAACACACTGCCGGCGTCATCCGAGGTCGCAGCCATCGGATTGGACGAACCGATGTGAACTGATGTTTGTTCCGCAGCAGTCAGTCGGAGACTGGTTCTGAAGCGTCTTGCTGATTTTCCTGGCTCCGCATGTTTGCGCAAGCATGCCCAGTCGCAGCCACCCGATCCAACGAAGAGATGTGAGCTTTGGCTTGTTCCGCAGCACTCAGTCGGAAACGGAACTTGAAGCGTCTTGTTGATTTGCCTCGCTCCGCGTGCTTGGGACAACGTAGCTGCTCACAAAGACATTTCTCGGATTTGGCTCCTACATTTTCTGCAGTTTTGTGCAACTTCACGCAACATGTCGACTTCGCAGAAAAAAAGCAAGGCATTTCGACATGTCTGATTGTTTGCAAGTCTAGCATGGCTTCTGGTTGCATGCTGCGTCGCCATGATTGAAAATTACGCAAGTCTGTGATGCTCTTATATGCATCTCCGCTGTCATGAGGCCACGACCCTGGACTCGAGCGGACAGGCTCCGATGGATCACTGAGCTGGACCGTTCCAGTGTTTTCACGAGCTGGGATCTCAGTGCGATTTTTTCTGTCGAGATTGTAGACAACAATCTGGTTTGGCTCACTCTTCCTCACTGATATCAATCTGGTTTGGCTCACTCTCCATCACTCTCACTCACCGCGACTCACTTTCCATGCGCTCCACCAACCGACCATGAAAGTTTTGCAGGTGTGTGATGCTTCTTTGCATCTGCGTTTTCGTCAGGCCAGGGCCCCGGGCACTGGTGGGGGGAAGAGAGCGATAGGCTGCTGCCACATCTTGTTGCAGTCATGCGATTACAGTTTGTAACCAAAAGATGGATACAGCCTAGGATAAGAGTCTCAGTGCAAGGTACCGTCAGGACCCAGGACCGACCATGCAAGTTTTGCAGGTCTGTGATGCTTCTTTGCATCTGCGTTTTCGTCAGGCCAGGGCCCCGGGCACTGGTGGGGGGAAGAGAGCGATAGGCTGCTGCCACATCTTGTTGCAGTCATGCGATTAGAGTTTATGACCAAAAGATGGGTACAGCCTAGGATAAGAGTCTCAGTGCAAGGTACCGTCAGGACCCAGGACCCTAATCCCAGCAAGATTATGGAAGGGAGCATCAGGGCAACCCCATTATATGAGATCGTGGTACTGACTTTGTCCCATTATATTTGATATCGTAGCACTGAGTTTGCCCCAGCCCACCGACCTCCGCCTCCTGCCAGGTCCGCCCGTTTATATTTTTTGGGGAGATGGCAAACCACCTTGGTTGGGGGGCCCCAAAGCACACGCCCGTCATTGCATATCGATACACGTTGGTTTCGCGTCGCATCGTTGTCCTTCTTTCTGGTTCGCATGGAAACGGGACTTCGCCACCTTACCCCTCGACACATGCACACACGATACAAGGTATACGTGTCCAGGCTCCTCCTCAGGTCTTATGATTTTAAAAGGAAGTGATGGTGTACCATGGCCTTGCCATCAGCCACGGTACATCTATTGTCACTTCCTCCCAATTGAATCTATGATAACCTTCGGCCTGTAACCCCGGTTCCCCCCGATCTCTTGTTGTGGGCAGATAGGCCTCTCTCTGGACGGATGGACTTTTCTAAGTAAAAGAAAAGCAAAAACTATTTTCTGTTGCTTCTTCAAAGTGATCCCCTTTGAGAAGGTCCATTGACCTTTTTTGGGATTGATCGAGTGCCCTCAAATTGATGGTTGACGAGGTCATTTTGAAGAAGCAAGTAACTAGCTATTTGCTGGAGAAGAACATCACGGCGATCACCAAGAAGGACTTTTGGCTTCAAGTAGGTGTTAACTTTTTTGAGGTAGGTGTTTGTTTTGTGCCAAGCACTGGCACCACTTCAGAATCTTTTTGTATTACAGTCTCAGTCTGGTATCATGGCAGAATATATGTCAGATCGAATTGATTGTAGACTAAATGCCAGAGAAGGAGATGCCAGATGAATGTCAGAAAACTGGTTTTGTCATTGGAGATTTAAACTCTCTGTCGATAAAATCCAAAAGTCCAAACATAACAATAAGTTTGGGCTTGCAGTCGCTCGTGGCTGAATATGAGAAAGCAACGATCAGACATACCCCATTGGCATAAAGTGGTCAGCGCTAAGAGCGCTATTACTATTATAAAGTGGTCAGCGCTAAGAGCGCTATTATTATTATTACTGTTACTATGAAACTTCCACATGATTGTCAACAGCCAGCGCATCTGTCGAGTGAGTACTGAAGCGAAACAATACATATAAAAGCACATGTCTGAAAATCTCTTGACAATGATGCAAGAATGACTCTCAAGCTGGTTCCTTTTGTCGGCCACGATGTGCACTATGTCGACTATGTCGATAAGCAAAAGACCCAAGATTGGGACATCAACGCAATGTCCTGTCAGATGGTGCTTTCTTTCGAGAAGCAAAAATTGATAGCAAGGTTGTGTGGACAAAATGTTTTCGAGTGTCACCTATTTGGGGCAGCCATCTGCATATCAAAATCGTAGGCATTTTCAATGCTACCTGTGGTCCAAACTGCAATGTCATTGCTTATTGAGTTTGCAGCACTGACCTGCAGCAAGGCAAAGCTTTTTGGTTAAATGGATCATGGGCTTCAGCGGCTGCAGCCCCTTGACTGTCCAGCGCACATGCCAAATCAGACTTGCGCATTGCAAATCACAAAAAGTACCAGCTGTTTCGCGTGAGGCGATGTTGGTGAAGGATATAGTCTCTTCTTTGCCGGGTTTTACTGCTCCTTCATCTGCTCCATCTCGTTTCGTCGGCGGCACAAAGCAAATTTTGTGGGTCAACTTGAAGTCAAACAATGTCTGGCCATCAGTTTTTTGCCCAGAAGGTGTAGCCTTGTGGTAGCAGACAGTAGCCTCAGGCTTGATTTTTCTTTGGTTGAATAGCACTTCTGAAATTGTCTGCGCAGCACCGTTGAGGCAAACCAAGGCATCTGAGGAAGCAATGTGAAAAAGCAAAGCTTTCTCAGGTAGTGTGTCACCTTCCTTGAACAACTTGAACGATCCCCTGCCAAATCCAACCAAAGGCGACATTGCTTTGAGACTGAGCTCATGGGAGGTCTGGTTGACCAAATAGAGCTGGTGGTTGGTGCGGATCTGGAATCCAATGGTATCTTTTCCTCCAAGCTTCGTCTCAAATAGAAGCGTCTCTGCAATTTTGTCACAAGGAAGCAAGCATTCTGCAGGCACTTCCTCCACTCGACACCTTTTTGGGCTCGGTTCAGCCTCCGATGTTTTTTCTTCACTGTTTTGTCTCTTGTTGTTGGGTGAAGAATTGTCTGCATCTTCACTCACTGAATACTTTTCCAAAAATGCGTCAAGCCACTTGGAAAATTCATCGCCGAAATCTTCATCAGAACGCCACTTCAGCATCAAGTGCTTTGGCAGCACCAGACTTCGATCTTCACCTTCACCTTTCACAACAAGAAGATTGGTAATTGGAATTGCGGGAAGTGCATCCAGGAGGTCTGGGTTGACTTCTTTCTGAAATGGCTGAGCACCAGGAATTTGAAAGCCTTCCAGCTTCACTTTCTCCACCAACTCTTCGAGCAAAGTCGCGCGAAGCCATTCCAATTCTTTGGCCTTCTCTCCGACACCAATGTAGAACAAGCTGGTCCCAGCATTCAATTGGGTCCGGAGGCGGCAAAAAGCACCTGCAAAATCACCAACTCGGGGGAAGAGGTCCACGATCAGCACAGCTGGAAATTTCTCCAGGTCAACTTGGTTGAAGGCCTTGCGAAAGACCTCTTCTGCAGCAGGACGGCCAAACTGACAATGCTTGGCTGCTCCAGAGATGTGATTGCTTGAAGTTGTGCTTGGGAGGCTGTCATCAGCCATGTCTTCCATTTCCTTCAAGTCCTTGGCGGCCATTTGCTTGCAAGGATCAGTTCGCCCAGCCTTGCGAAGCTCCGACTGAAAGAAGGCATTTGTCTTTCCAAGGTCAACCACATGACCTGTGAAGGCCCAACGAGCAGGGTAAAGCAGAGGTCGGCTGTCTCTCTGATCGCATCTGTCAGAAAATAAGACGCTGAACTGATGGTCCAAGTTGTGCCCTCCTTGTGCCAGCAGCTGCATGCACGCATTTTCCTCCAGGAATGTTTTTCCTTTCTGGTACGAAAAGGTAGGTGCGAAAATGATTGCAGCCGAGTTGGTATTGTCGTGCAACGCCCACGCAAGGCAGTTGATGTGATCATTCTGCCGTCCAGCTGGAAACAGACAGGGTGCGGTCCAATTCATGAGGACCAAGGTAGGAACATCTGCAGCTGCACCAGCTGTGTTTTGGTTGCGTAGCTTTCTCACAATTTCCATGCGAAATGAGAGGACCTGTGGAACGATGCTATCACTTCCCTTGTTGACTCCTTCCCAGCACAGGAAGCGAACACAACCATCAAGATAGGCTTCCACTGATTCCACGATTTTCCTGTGTTCAGAAACGACATGTTCCTGCTTCGCATGCTGGCGAGCCATTGCCACTGATGCGACCTTCGATTGCCAAATTTCGAAGACCTTGATGTCATAGTCCATTTTCTTCACAACATGGTCGAACTCATCTCTCTTCAGCTTGTCTCGCATTTCCACCTGCCAGCATTGTGGAACAAAACAAACTCACAATTATCCTAATGATTGGGGAGAAGATTCAACAGAAAAGGTGTTTTGGTGCAGAGGCCATCATCAAGGCAGCTTCATTGCAACACCGACTAGTAGACCAAAAACTTTGAGGGAGGGAATAAAGCTTGAAATTATTATCTTATCATTGTTTTCGTCATTATTATGGGTTATGCTACTCATCAAACAACGACTACCACGTCAAGAAAAGAGCCCCTGCCTCTTGGGAAGAAGACACCGGCGCACGAAAAAGAGATCCCTCCAGCAAAGCCTTGAAACAAGGCATGTGGGTCGCAATGGCAAAGGATTCGGACTTCTCCAGTAACTGCGCGGCCAGCTCCATGTCAATGCGCTTGCATCCAGAGGACCACTCATCCAGTATCTTCTTCTGGACTGTCTCCATGGTGATGGGATGCTCAGAGCAAAACTCATCTGCTAAGGAAACGAGGCAAGCTGCTTTTTCAGCCAGTAGCTCACAAGCTCTGTCATCCGGCTTCTTCTGGCTGCACTTCTCACAAGACTGGTGCTCCTGCTCCCAATGAATCCTGAGAACCATAATTCTCAAGGACCTGTCGCTGACTCTCAATCTCTGTTGCCACTTCCTGTTCTTGGCTGGGAAAACGTGTCCTGGGAAGAGACGTTTTGAAGCCAAATTCTCCTCAGTCCAAGCACAATTCTCCCATCCAAGAGTTCCAACATGGTTGAGGATCTCATCCAGCACGTCCTGAACAGCGAGAAAAGGATAGTACACATAAAGAAAAACTTATCTACTATTTTTCCCTGGAGAAGTGACAAAGTTAGGGGTGGTGTCACACAAACACTATAACTTAAAAAAAAAATCCAAGTAGTCCTTGGGAGCGCTTTCGAAGAGGAGCTTCAGTGCAGTTTGCTTGCGACCGCGAAGTTGGTGAGCCGCAACAGACTGCTGGTTGTACTTTCGCAGGAAAGTAGTGTAGTCGGTGCCTCCTGAAGCCAACAGACGTCTGACCATGAAGGCAATTTGGATGAGGTTGGCTGCCTTTCTAAGGGATCCTCTCGTGCTCAACTTCAGGTTGCACAAGACCTCATCTTCCTTGCTGTTTTGCCGCATATGCTGAACCCAAATGACTGAGACGGAATCGAATAACTTCGGGCAGAAGCTTTTCAAGTCATCCAAGGAGACCTCTTCTTCAAAGACTGACAAAAGAAGAGCGAAGAGACTGGTAAGTCGAGCACGTCCTTTCAAATATCCCAGGCTAAAAGGCTTAAGTGCTGACTCTTCAGATCCCCAAAGGCTGGGAAGACCAGCTGCCTTCTCAACTGCCAATGGCTGAGCCATCAGAATCACATCTCCGCTGGTTATGAAGCCATCCTTGAGGTACATTGCCATGAGGCCCAAAGCCAAATCACGTCCTGGAGCAGGTTTCACCCCACAGCCATCGGTCCAGCTGAAGGACGACACATGGATAGCAAGTGGTGGCGACTGGGCCAATTCATCTTCCAGCACACTGGGAACTACTTGGTCGTGGTGATAGCAGATATCTGGTCTTTCAGGCCATGTTTCCAGCAGCCAAGTAGCGAAACGAGCCTTGTCTGCTGCCGTCTTCATTTTGTCTTCCAAGTAGCTTCCTGGGCCAGCTGGATAGTTCTGAAGAATGGTTCTCATTTTGGCCAGCCACTCCTTTGCGAACTGGGACGCATCATCCACACACTCATCATCAATTTCAATTGTCTCAACCTCTGGTGCATCAGACACCATTGCCATGTTCGAATTGGGGGGAGCTAGTCGGCCTGACAAAGCAACGCAATGCCAGCTCCACTTGAAACTCCAAGCTGCTATGAGCCATCAAGTTGCAAAACGACAAAAGATTGCAGCACTTGATGCTGCTCTGACAAACATATTTTCCAATTTCACTGTCATTATTATTATTTATTATTTCTATTACAGCGCCCAATTGGTCGCTACCTACATATTCATATTTAATAAGCGCCCAAACGGTCGCTAACCTACATAGGGAAGATAACCGAGGCAAACCGTGCAAATGCCAAAACTGAATTCTGAGCTGCTGTTTCTGATTCTGTGACTGCTCATGCCTTTCTGACACAACAACTTCAAATGGATCCCTCATGCCATTTTTTTTTCACTGAAAAGCATTGCGCAACGCATGCAACGCATTGTAGAAAAAAACGTTCTGACCTGCTCTCTTGCCTCTTCTGCGTCCACTTTTGGGAGCTGGGTTTTCTACAGGTCTAAGAGCTGGCACTACCCTAGGTGCTGCCTTTGAAGAAGGAGAGATCGATGAAGTAGGCTGGCTTTCAGCTGAAGGTTTGCTACCCGAAGCTGATGCAGTCGCACTTGGGATGCCTTCGTCATGAGCAGGCATTTCAGCTGGTGCGGCTGACTGGTCAGCTGACTGCATACCACCAGTTTCATCTCCTCGACTTCGAACTTCTCGACTAGAATCGTCTGGTGACAAAGGCCTCTTCAAGGCATTTGCCGCAGCAGGGCCAGGTTGTGCAGGCTGACTGGGTTCTGAAGATACCTTGGAGTTCCACAAACATTCCAAGGAATCATAGTGGCGTCCTTTGTGAGTCACTGGGCGCTTCTGAAGCTTCTGCTCGAGGATGCGCAAGGTTGCAGCGGCAGCAAGTTTCCTTTGACGCTTTGACAGTTTCCGATTGGAATCTGACTTTGACTCAGTGGAGGACAGGTCGTCAGCCATGGCAGGAAAAACTGGCAGCACAGAGACGCAGAAACAGAGCACTGGAGAGAAAAAATAATAGGTCAATGAAATGGGAACTTCATAAGAAGTGACTAGTTGGGTGCACCTGCTGCTCCTACCTGATGCTCAAGTCAATTTGAGTTTATCTGAATTGTTTCCTGCCACTGCCTCGTCTCATGGGCCTGGTGAGCCACAAGATAAACGGTTCATCTGACTGACTGGCATGCCCAAAAAAATTCCACACAGTGAGCCACCAGATAAACGGTTCATCTCACTGACTGGCATGCCCAAAAAAAAATCCACACAGTGAGCCACCAGATAAACGGTTCATCTCACTGACTGGCATGCCAAAGAAAAATCCACACAGTGAGCCACCAGATAAACGGTTCATCTCACTGACTGGCATGCCCAAAAAAAACCACAGTGAACCACAAGATAAACGGTTCATCTCACTGACTGGTATGCCAAAAAAAAATCCACAGTGAACCAGAAGAGAAACGGTTCATCTCACTGACTGGTATGCCAAAAAAAACCACAGTGAACCACAAGATAAACGGTTCATCTCACTGACTGGTATGCCAAAAAAAAAATCCACAGTGAACCAGAAGAGAAACGGTTCATCTCACTGACTGGCATGCCCAAAAAAAAACCACAGTGAACCAGAAGAGAAACGGTTCATCTCACTGACTGGCATGCCCAAAAAAAAACCACAGTGAGCCAGAAGAGAAACGGTTCATCTCACTGACTGGCATGCCCAAAAAAAAACCACAGTGAACCACAAGATAAACGGTTCATCTCACTGACTGGTATGCCAAAAAAAAATCCACAGTGAGCCACAAGATAAACGGTTCGTCTCACTGACTGGCATGCCCAAAAAAAACCACAGTGAACCACAAGATAAACGGTTCATCTCACTGACTGGTATGCCAAAAAAAAAATCCACAGTGAACCAGAAGAGAAACGGTTCATCTCACTGACTGGTATGCCAAAAAAAAAACACACAGTGAGCCACAGGATAAACGGTTCATCTCACTGACTGGTATGCCAAAAAAAAACACAGTGAGCCACAAGATAAACGGTTCGTCTCACTGACTGGCATGCCAAAAAAAAATAATCCACAGAGAAAACAGTTGATGCATTCCCCTTACTGTAAGCGCTGGGGGTCAAGCGCTGCCTATTAATATAGTTTTGGACTGTGCCCAGGTAATGGTCGTCCCTAACACGCTAACAGCAGTTCAGATGAAAAAATCGAGGGACAGCAAGACTGACTGTGAAAGCTGCAGCTGTATCTCTGTGGGTGGCTTCCTGCTCTATCCCAGGATGGCCTCTTAAAAACCATTGTTGTCAGAGAAATGTGTGATCAGGTAGCTGCAGTTCAAGCTAAGCTTATCCAACAGATCTCTGCACACTTGACTGTTTTCAGCGGCTATCCCAGGAACGACCGTGAAATCCAGGTCGAAATTTTTGTTGGCCAGATCCCCATCGAGATTTCAGGGGATATCCCAGGATATCCCGTGAAAATTGGTGAAGCTAATCCATGTGAAGTACATATTTCAGAAGAGAAAAAAACATATCAATGTAAACAAAATGCTGCCCGTTTTTTTCTACAAGGTTTAGGGTTTAGGGTTTAGCCTTCTACTGCAAAATCATGGATGCTTCAAGTATGTTCAAAAAAAAACTTTCACAGAGTTGGAGGCCAGAAGCTGCCCTGTTTTCCTTTTACTCAGCGGTAGTGGTTAAAAAAAAAACTTTCACAGAGTTGGAGGCAAAAAGCTGCCCTGTTTTCCTTTTACTCAGCGGTAGTGGTTTAAAAAAAAACTGTCACAGAGTTGGAGGCACGAAGCTGCAGTGTTTTCCTTTTACTCAGCGCAGTAATGATTTCAAAAAAACTTTCACAGAGTTGGAGGCAAGAAGCTGCCCTGTTTTCCTTTGACTCTACGCAGTAGTGATTTCAAAAAAATCTAAAGACAGGGAAAACAAAATCGCTTCGCAGCATCACTTCTTCTGGTTTTCCTGGGGGTCATTTTGGAAAGACCACTGCTGCTGCCAGTCCCGGCGCCAACGATAGCGCCCTTGAAGCAACTTCCAACCATCGTGGCTGGAATGGATTCTCTTGTATGTTGTCCAGTCAGCAGTCGACACCCGTTCCAACCTTGCTGCTTCACAGCATGAGTTCCACAAAAAAAAAATGTCTCTAAAATAATAGGTTTGTTCCTAACAAAAAAACTGTTTGTCCCTAAAATAAAAGGTTTGTTCCTACTTGGGTTTGTTCCTAAAATATAAGGTTTGTTTCTACTTGGGTTTGTTCCTAAAATAAAAGGTTTGTTCCTACTTAGGAGATCTCCTAAAATATAAGGTTTGTTCCTACTTGGGTTTGTTCCTAATATAAAAGGTTTGTTCCTACTTGGGTTTGTTCCTAACATGAAAATGTCTCGGTTGTTCCTAAATTTTAAAGATTTTGTTTGTTAAACTGAAGGATTTCTCCAAACATGTTCTCAAACTCATCATCAGCATGATCGCATATCTCACAAGATAAACCAAACTGCTCCTTGTCAGAGAATGTTCGCCACAGTGGCACAAAACGGTAAAGAAAACAATTTGCTAAATGGTAGCAATTTATCCATGGGAGATTGACAAATTAGCACAAGGGAGACACACCCGGGTGCTAAGAAATAAAGAATGATAGTTCAAAAGCAAGGAACTCTCCAGCTGCATTGACCATCGGGAAGGTCTCATTGCGGTCTTTTTCAACAACCCATTCATGGCGCAGCTCGCGACAGTACTCCGTATAGGTTTGGCCTTGTGCATTTTTCAACTCCCCCTTTGGAAAAAAACGCTCCAACTCAAGGAGAGCCACCGTGCTCTGGTCTGATGGGCTTGGTAGCATTGCAGCCGCAGCTGGTCGGCACATAGGAGCAGGTGCTGCCATCAGGGAGGCTGGTCTTTTCATGGTGCGAGGCAGGACTGTTTCTTTGATCCAAAAAAAACTCACAAACAATCGAGTTTCCAACAAAATTTCCCTTGAAAGAGGTCCTCGGGGTGAATGGGGTCCTGGGTCCGCGCGCGCGCGCATGCTAGCTTCAATTTGGAGCCCTTGACGCGCGCGCGCGCGGACCCAGGACCCCTTTCACTCCGAGGACCCCTTTCAAAGGAAATTGTGTTTTCCTCGGGCAGGACTGTTTCTTGGCCAGTAGCGCTTCAATCACAAAGCGACATCTCAAACATTTTTTTTTATGTCTAAGACACTTTCTTTGCCAAAGCACTTCAGGATTCAATCACAAAGCGACATCTCAAACATGATTTGGCTAATGTCTAAGAAAGTTTCTTTGCCAAAGCACTTCAGGATTCAATCACAAATCAACATCGCAAAGCAATCTGCAGCAAGGCATCTCATTTTCTCTTTTCAATCCAAATGCAAAATCTTGAAGATTGGCTGGGGATATTCAATCAACATCCTCAGCGTCAGCTTTAAGCTGACAAATGTGGCCAGCTGAATCCAAAACGTAACGACGCCTCTTCTGTTCCACCCAGGCTCGACATTGAAGGCACCCAATCCTGGCGCTTCTGCACCTGGAGCATCCATAGCGCTCGATCTTCTCTGAATCTGCCTAGCGGGCCAAGCCAAATTGGTGACTTTACGTGGTCATAAATGTGTTAGGGATATTATCATATGATATAATTATAAAGCGTCCTGCGCTACCTACTTAATAGGGGACCCATTATAGAGCGCTCTGCGCTACCTACGATGCCAAAAATCATAATACATATTATAATATATCAATGGATCGCCAGCTCTGATGCAACTGCAGCAACATTGTCTGAATTTCTGATCACCGACTGTTTCTTTCCCTTTACATCTTCAAGATAGTGGTATACCTTGACATTGAAAAGTTTGAAGTCTCGCCCCTAGCTGAAACAGAAGCCCAATAATATTGTCATAGACATCATATCAGAGTCTCCGAACATTGACATGTGTAATTCCCTAAAGAAGCCTCAACCACATGTGACTCCGGAGGAGCATTGGCACGGTCTGAGG